TGACTCAAGCAGGCAGGCAGACCAGCCAGTGGTCAGAGCCACATGCCAAGAGATGCGGTGATGGCTGCCGTGGCTCAGGTCAGCGCCGTGTGGGCACAAGGCCTGGCACCTGGATGGACCAATGGTGAGGATCTGCTTCCGCTGCCAAGGAAGGCAGGTCTGCAATTTCATAGAGGCTCACTGGTAGAGTAGGCATGTGGGGCCCAAGGGCCACGCTGACCGGACCTCACTGTCACCGCTAGCCCAGACGGGGAAGGACCTGGTTAGGGGACGGGGAGACCTCAGCACTGTTGGGGGTGGTCACCAACCCCCATCTCCCTCTTGTGCACTCCAGATGCCACCCAGCTGCTGGCCCACCCTGCCTGGGGGCTAATGGGCATCACGTACCAACTGTGCCGGCCACCCACCCCACACCAACCAGCACCATCTCCTCCAGCGTTTGCACCAAGGCCTGCCCCCTTCCCTTCCTCCCAGCCCACCCGTCCTCCCACACCCGCTGCCCACTCGTCCATCCCGAGCCCAAGGCTCCACGCCTCCTGTGGCCACAACCAGCAGCTCCTGTGGGAGCACATGCTCTGCAAATGGGCTGAGGACCTTCCTAGGACAGAGACGGAGAGGGGCAGAATGGCTGGTCAGAGGATGATGCTCTTAGGTGAGCAGACCTGGCCCAACTCCCTCCAAACATCCAGTACAGGTACCAGTGGCTGGGCAAGGGGGCGTCCCGCCAGCACCACAACCTGCCGCTGCTGCCCTCCTCGGGGTGGCAGGAAACACTCTCACCATGGTTACACTGGCAACTCCCAGGGGCTGCGCATCTTACAGATTCCTGCCTGTCTGTGTCCACGAATCACCGATTTGGGTATTGAATCCTGGGCTTTTGCTGCACTGATCCGTACTGCAGTGCACGTGGTGTGGGCAGGCTCACGGCCTGTCTGATCCACAAGCTGCCGATATTTCCTCCCACGCCTGCCCTGTCCTGCAGCCTTGCCTGTGGCACTGCCTACCAGGAACAGTCTGTTCCTTCAGCACAAGTTTTCCCATTGCTCCCGCATAGCGGCCACCCTCCCTGCCCCAAAGCGAAAGCCCCTTTCCCTTGCCTTCTTTGAATGGTTGTATTTTGGCTTAGTTCTCAGGTCAGCCCGTGCCCTGCTCCGGTGGGTGGTGTGAGGTACCCCTTGCTTCCCAGGTGCCAGGCGTCAGGTCTGTCCCACCTCAGCCATACCCTGGACACCCAGTCACCAGGCTCCACAGGGGTCCGGCACGCTCGGCAGGCCTCTCAGCTTCAGCACATGCTCTGGTATCTGAAGGACAGGTCTCCCTCTTGGCTAGTCATAGAATCTTCTAAAAGTCTAATGCATCGTGCTGGGCCACCACCACTGCCCATCACACCCAGCACTGAGCATGAAGCGCGGCAAGCAGGTGAGTCTTGAGTGAGCCCCGGCTCCCCAGCAACCCCACGGCAGAGACGGCACACCACCTCAGCATTTGTACCCAAGCCAGAAATAAGCAAAACTCATCCCTGAGGGCAGAAATCAGGGCAGGGCCACCTGGTCTGGGGAACAATACGGGACATCCGGGTGCTGGCACACCTTCTTGGTATGGACGCTAGTGGTGTGGCTGGGCTCCCTGTACAAGCCATGGAGCTGAACGTTTAAAACACATGCACGCTAACAGCAGGCATGCTTCATGTGCACTCTTACGGGCAGGCCGGCGAAGGGCGGAAAGAAAGGCCGAAAAAGACGCTGTCCATGCGAGACTGGGCAAAAGTGCACTCAGCCCTGGTGCCAACCCTTCAAAGCAGAGCCAGGGCTCTTGTAGAGTTCTGCATAATGACACCAGCATCTGAGCAGAGAGCAAAACCACACCTGACAACTGGGGTGCCAGGGGCAGGGGGCCTGCACCCTCGGTGGGAGCACTTTCTTTTGTCAATTGAAAAGGCAAACAGGCCTCTCAGTGGAGGAGAAACATGCCAGGTCAAAATGCAGCAGAGAATGACAGGGATGCACATGAATGAATGGGGAGCTATTGTGGCCTCCACACACAGCCAAGGGGGCCTAGACACCCGGAAAGTGAGGCTCCCGGTTCACATCACATCCATCTCCCACCGGCTGGCTGTGCACATGAAGGCTCTGAACAGAGGTTACCTGGACCAGAGAATCTGCAGCTCCAAGCACTTTACACATTGAGGGATATATTTTCAAGGCTAGCCAGCCCGTCTATCTGGTCTTGAGGGGCCATGCAGAGGACAGGGGCCCTCAGGCTTCACATGACAGGGCTGAGGAGCCAGACACCCCAGCCTCACCCAGCACAGCCTGTGCGATCACTGTGGCAGCCCCCAGGGTAGGAGCTGGAAAGCATGCACTGCTCTTTTCGCATGAGGCGGAATGTCCTCCCAGCAGCTGCCAGCAAAGGAGGTAAACACACATGGGAACACAGTGTCGCTGTGCTGTTCGGGGGCCCTGGCTGAGAAAGCCCTGACGTCTATAAATATTCTGAGCAGCCGGCCCACTGCAACTCCCCACCCTCCTCCCAGCTCAGCAACTGAGGATTCTACAATCTGTGTTTTGTCATTTTGACCAAGTGGCATTTCACCATGACAAATTTTCTACAGGGATATTCTCTTCTGAGATCTCCACAATGTTTGGGGAGCACTAATTCAACTCCACACCAAGTGTCACTGTCCCTGCAGTTCAAAGGAGCAACACAATGAGGGGAAGAATGAGCATTACAGAAAGCCGTGGACATAGGGCAGCCCCTCTACCTTAGCCCCTCCTGGCTTCCCCACAAGCCAGGGGCCAGCCCAGCCTCACAGTGACTCCTGCGGCCCCCATGCTTAATAAAAGACAATGGAGTATTCCAACGAGGATGTACCCTGAGTGTCAGGAGCCATCAAGAGATGGTGAACGGCCTTTTTTACTTTTAAGCGCACATATATCATTTTTGAAAATCTAAAAAAGAAAGTTAAAGAAAAATAAAGGGGCGCCTGGGTGACTCAGTCGTCAAAGTGTCTGCCTTCAGCTCAGGTCATGATCTCAGGGTCCTGGGATCGAGCCCTGCATCGGGCTCCCTGCTTCTCCCTCTCCCGTTCCCCCTGCTTATGTTCCTTCTCTCCCTGTGTCTCTCTCTGTCAAATAAGTAAATTAAATCTTTTAAAAAAAACTGCAATGATAACCTGGAAAGACAGCTTGGTGACCTGGGGCGACCTTGTTTTCATGGAGCCCATCACCCAACCCCATGGTCTGGACCAACAAATGCCAGATGCAACAGTGATGCCCTCACACACCGCCATGTCGCCAAAGGATGGACCCAGTTCCTGCACATCTAGAGCGTCAATGACAAGTGTGCCACCACTTTTAAAATCCTCCCAGCCTCCCTGCCACGGGCCGTTTATCTCCAGGCATGCTCTGGAGGCCCCTCGTTTCTCCACGGAAGTCCTCAGGAGTAACAGGCACACTTCCTGTGCGGGCAGGCACCAGGGCTGCCTACAGAGAGCTTCACCCTCTGATACAGAAGTCAGGCACTGGAGCGAATCCCCAAGACACCACACACAGTTACATCCACGGTGAAACACGATCAAAAAGCCCACAGAACGAGGTCACAAAAGAATCATGAGGCAAGCATAACAGTGCAGGGGCTGGGCAGCCGGGGCAGAACTGACAGCCTGTTTCCTTCATTCAGGGAAGGCTGTTGTCACCACACATCAGAGCAAACAGTGGCAGCAGCAGTGGACAGTCTAAGTGGCCCGCAGTCTGTGGACATGCCAGGAACATGAAGGCACAGGACTGGGGCTAATACTCAAAGGCCAGATAAGGTGGGGGCACCAGGGCAGCCCACCCACCAGACGGGAGCACTAGGATCCTGGAGAGGAGGGGACAGAAGCTCTGCTGTGTCCTCCTGCCTCCACCTCACCAGCCAGCTCACCCAAAGCAGGCAAGACCCTGAGACAGTGGCCCAGGTGGAGAGGAGGCGCTGGGACCTGGCCCTGGCTCTGAGTGACCTTGGGAACACCACTTGCCCCTCAGCCTGAGTTTTCTTCACTGTAGACAGCAGCCAACCAATGAACATTTGCCCAAAAAGGTTGCCCAGAGGATTAACAAGCAAGTTCGAGAAAGCATTTCCAAAGTGCTACCAGCTGCAGCCACCCCTTATAGCTGCCATCACGTCACATCTGCCTCATGGAAGAAAGCTCTGAGCCCAAACAGCAGCAGCAAAACAGCAGTCAGCAGGTTGGGAGCAGGACGCCAGGCCAGGCCTGAGCCCAGCATGTGATATCCCTGCTGGAGGAAAAGGGCTGAGGCTCACGGACTAGTCCAAGGGCAGAAGGTTCACTCTAAAGCTGTGGCCCCGAGGGAGGCCATGAAGCACCTGACACCGCTGGGGTCGGGGAAGGGGGTCTTAAAGCCAAGCACCAGGGCCAGCCCTTGCACCAGGGCCAGCCCTTGCCCCAGGCGCAACCCTGCCCAGCACCCACCCCTGATACCCTGGGGGGATGGTCTAACTGAGCCACCCCAGAAAAGGCGTGTCCAAGCGCAGGCATGACCCAGCACTTGCTGCCTACTGAGACAAACATAAGCTGTCACCCGGCTGCCCCGCAACAGGCCACAGGGTGGTGGCACCGTGACTCAGGACTTCAGAAGTGTCTGAGGCCCTAGCCCACCCACCCTGCGGCGATCACGCAGCTCCCGGCCCCGCTAGTCTCTGCTTCCCCGCAGCGAGACCCGCCCGGCCTGCCAATGGACCCTGCTTCCCATTCTGTCGGGGATCACTGGAAACGCCTTCGAGTAACGCATGGGGCGCTTCGTCAGGGTCAGTTTGGTCTCTCCGGACCCAGCCGTAGGATTTCCATTCCACGCCTCGGGAAAGGGAAACAGGCAGGGCGGGGAGGTACAGCCCTGTCCCTCCCCTCCCTACCCGCGCCCCCCGGAGCCCCGCGCCCCGGGTCCCGGGCCGGCCCTTCAGGGAAAGGAATCGGCCGCCCGGGCCGCCAGCCGCACACTCACCGCCTCCGCCGCCGCCGACTTCCGGGTGCCGCGCCCGCGCGCCACCGCCACCGCCCAGGCCACGCCCCCGCACCCTCTGAGCGCTCACCATTGGGTTGCGCCGCCAGGGGCGGGGCGGCACGCCGCGACCCCGAGCACCGTTGGCTGGGCGCGCTGTCACTCGGGGGCTGCAGCCCTCCCGGCGCTCCGCCCCCAGGGCTGCGCCAAGCCTCGGGGCTGCGGGGGCGTCTGGGGGTCTCGTGACCCCCGCGGCTTTCCCAGGCTTCTCGGCTCCCCACGCCGGAGGACGCCCGTGGGAGGTCGCTGCCGCTTGCTGCCGCCCCAAGAGCATGCCTTCGTGGACCCATCAGGGCCGCGGTCTGAACTCCAGGGGCCATAGGTCACCAAACCACCTGGCGGCCTTCTCTGGGAGCGATAGGGGGATGCCCACTTCCGGACCCGCCCCTCAGGCTGGGTCCTGTTCCACACCCACTGGCTGTAGACCTGGCCATCCCTCCCTTTTCTTTATGGCTCCCAGTTCAGTTCAGCTTCTGCTACTCTGGCCTTTGCACCAACCCCCACTACCACCCCTACCCCCCGCAATCCTGCCACACTCGGGACAGACCCTGGACCGGGTACTCCAGACCCACCCAGCCACTGTGGCCTTTGAGCCCACTTGGTCGCTGTTTTGCAGGTCCAGGCCCTAGGAGGAAGTGTTGGCCCACCCTCAGCTGTAATGCTTGAGCAAGTGAGCAAAAGGGCGGGAAGGGGCACTGACTGGGGGCCTTTCAACAGGACAGAGGCAGTTGCTGGGCTCCCTGCCTTCAGTGTCCTCTAGGCTGTGTCTAGGGCCTAAGTGCAGAGAAAGTGGAGAGTCAGAGGCCCAGGGCCCAGGGCCTACTCCAAAGTGGGCGCTCAGCAAACTAGGACAAGGATGACAGTTACATTGAGGATAATAACAATGTGTTAAGCACTCCAAACCCAGGGTCCCAGTCCACAGGTGTCATTCCCCCCATTTTACAGATGCAAACACTGAAGCTCAGAGCAGTTACACCACTTTAAAAAAGGATAGCAAGTGGCAGTGGCTGAATTAAATCCACAGTCCTGTGTGAAGACCTACTGTCCTGATCCTGACTCAGAGCACTGATGCCCTGTGGAAAACGGGTTTAGAGAAGGAAAGGGCCTGACTCGTGATCAACAAAGGCAAGAGTGGATCCCAAAACTCCCTGACACACCCAAATGCCTATTCCACCCAATTCTCTTGCCATCTTTTCTGTGTTCCTCCTGGAACCCAATAGGAGCCCTTTACAGACATGGAAACTGAGGACTCCAGATATCCAAGGACTCATGGCCAGCAGGCAGCAGACTCAACTTGATGCATGGTCCTTCCTCCCACCATCCAGCAGCAGAATCCTCCTGGGCTGGTGCCAGTGATTTCCCTCTGGGCAGCCAGACCTTTCAGTCCACCCGAGAGGTGATAGTGCTAAATAAGAAGACTTGGGGAGGGGCACCTGGGTGGCTCAGTTGGTTAAGCGACTGCCTTTGGCTCAGGTCATAATCCTGGAGTCCTGGGATCGAGTCCCACATTGGGATCCCTGCTTGTCGGGGAGCCTGCTTCTCCTCCTGACCCTTCCCCCTCTCATGCTCCCTCTCTCTTTCTCACTCTCTCTCAAATAAATAAAATAAAATCTTTAAAAAAAAAAAAGAAGACTTGGGGCTTAGACATGTGTGACCACACCCTGGGGTACAAGGCAGCAGTTGCAAAGTGGTCTGCCCCAAACCACTGGGCAACATGCCTCAGGGGAGTGGGACACAGAATGGTGCTTTCCTGTTGCTAGCAAAGAGGAATGCAGTCATGCATGGGTTGGACAGAGGTTCAAATCCTGGTCTGCCACAGAAGCATATGGCCATGGGCCAGCCCCACTTCTAGCTACACTCTCCCCATCTGGATGGAGCCATGTCAGGTACTCTGATAGTCTTTGTCTTTGCTGACTCCAATTAACAACATTCAGTGCTAGGGAGCAGATAAGACCAGATAAGATGGGTCGGGGTGGGAAGCTGACCCCTGGGGTCTCAGGGCTGCAAAGAGTTCACACATCCTTAGCTGGGGAGCTCACTGCCTTATTTGGTCACCCTTCTGGTCTCTGAACATTTGCCGCTGTTGAGAAGTTCTTCCTGACCTCCAGCTAAAACCTTTTTGTCCCTATAGCTTTGCTCACATGTCCCAGGGATGTCCCCACAGAACTGTCCCACAGCTGGGTGGAGAGGGTGGGAGAGAGGGAAGAGACTAGGTTACTGGTCCCTGTGCCACTGGTCACACTGTAGGGGCTCCCTGTTCCTGACCCCTACCTACAGCCTGGGTCATGGTGGGCCCACTGAGTGGCCTTGTGTCCTCTTGGAACTGATACTGTCCACCCTACTCCTCTGTATGTGGCTAGTGATCCAGCCTGGGAGACAGAATCCTGCCTGGAGTGGGGGGCGGAGAGGAAGTCCTCACCTAGGCCAATTCTGGAGCACAATTCTCCTTTTGCTCTCTCACCAGAGGTCTGTCTGGCTCCTCCTGCCACTATCAGCAAGTGTGGGGGGAAGGGATGATGCTGGACCACAAGCTCACTATGAGAATAGGGCTCCAGGAAGACCAGGGTCCAATGCCCCTGGAGAAATCTGTAGGGACAGTTGGACTAATGAGATCCACTCCTAATGGAGGGAAGAGAACCCCTCAACCCACACAGCCGCTGGCTCAGAATGTCACCAATGGTGCAGCTCCACAGGACAAGAGCTATCTTGCTCATAGGGGCCCCTGTGTTCCAAAGAAGGACACTGCGTTCCATCTGCCCAGAGCCGCAGGCAACATCACTATGCCAGAGTGTCAAACGGCTCTCATCTCAAGTGCCAACTCCAATTGACTGGTGGTGGCAGCCTGGCTTCAAAAGGCTAGGGTGGATTTGCTATGTGCGCCAGGTACCACAGGGGGGACCCAATGGTGGTACCAATGGTGAGTTCTAGCCCTACAGCACTTCACTTTCTTTGTTCCGAGCAAGCAACTATGGTGTGAACACTCTGGATCCCTGATGTGGGTGGATAAGACATGAATGTCTGGTCTCTCCATTAGCGCTGTCATGGGCCTGTGACTCCCTGGGTGGACATGGGGAATATGGTGGGCTGAGAATCTGGTCATCTCCAGGTGCAACCAGGGTAGGAAAGACTTAGAACTAAGCGTGAGCCAGAGTCACTGGCCAAGGGGCCACCATCTCCTGAACCCCCTGAAGTAAGCCCCACTGGGCAGCACCCCCACTGGTGCCCCCCCCCACAAAGTTAAGTGGAGCTGGCCAGGGATCATGGTCCCATTTGTGGTCATATATGTGTGCCTTGTGTCACTGCAGGGACCAGGTGGCCGCTCTCCACCTGGCAGAAAAATGCAACCTGTGCGAAACTCTACTCAGGTGGTTGCACCCCACAGGTTTCCTCCAAGATCCCAGGTAGGGTGGAGGAAATGGGACACCAGGAAGAGGAGGTGGTGATAAACACACAAACTCCTCCCCCACCCCTCCCAGGCCCTGACTGAGGTGATTTGGAGGAGATGAGGGACGGCAGTCCTGTGGCAGTCCTGCAGGGTGGGCTGAGACAAGGTGTCCGGAGATTCAGGCCTGGTGGCAGAGGAAAACCTCTATTTCACCGAAAGGCCCTTTCTGCCCTCAGAAACACGTCTCCCTATCCAGCGTCGCTGAGCCAAGGTCTCTGAGCCCCGCCTCTCTGTGAGGACCCCGGGGCGACGAGGGAGAAAGAAGCCGCAGGCCCGGGAGTGTAACGGACTAGGTTTCAGCCCCGGAGACCTAAAGCAAGTGAGAACCTTTCTGAGCTTCAATTTCCCATCTGTAAAATGGGAAGGCGGCAGAACTCTCCCTCGCGGATTGTGTGAAGAACACAATTAGATATTGACAGGAGGGCGCGGCGCGCAGCACCCGGGCGAACTGCTGACGCCTGAGAAGGATCCCAGTGAGCTAGGGGCAGTGAAGGAGGCAGCCAGGCTGGAGTCCCGGGAAGGGGCGCAAGGCCTGCCAATCCCCGCTCCGGGCCGGACGGTCTGGGGACGTCCTCGAACGCGGCCGAGGGGGGGCGGCCCGAGGCCCCGGCCGCGCCGCAGCGGTCCCGGCAGGTGCCGGGGCCTCGGCCACTCCACGAAGGGGCCGGTCGTCGTCCGGGACGGACACCCCGGGAGCCCAATGGCAAGCCGGCGTCTCCCAGCGTCCGTCCAATCGGCGCCGGTTGCCGGGCCGCCCTGGGTCTCCCGGCCAATGGGAAAATTCGCGTTCGGATGGGGCGGGGCGGAGGGTCGCGTAGCCGGCCAGACCCGCTTTGCGCACGGGCCGCGCGAGGGGCGGGGAGGGCTGGCCCCGGGGCTGCACGCTGGGCCCGGGAGGGGTCCGCCCCCGCACCGGCCCAAGTTGAGGCCCCGCGGACCGCTAACCCCGCCGCGCCCTGGGGACGCCGCGCCGGGTGCGCCGAGAGACCCGGGGACGCCCGTCTGGGGGCGGGGGCCACGCTGCGGGGCCGCCCACGCCGCGCTCCAGGTAGGCTCAGGCCGGGGGGCGGGGTCCGGAGGTCGAGGCCGGGATTGGGACGAGGCCAGAGGTCCCGGACGGGATCCAGGTTGCGGTCCAGCAGGGGCCGGCGTCTAGGTGGGCTCCTGAGCGGGGAATCGAAGTCCGGCCGGGTATCGCGGCCGGGGAAGGAGCCGGGCTCCGCCCCACCTGCCCCTAGCCCGCGCCGCGGTGCGCGAGACCCTGGACCACGGGGACGGGTCCCTTTGTGCGCGGCCTGCCCGGGCGCCCCGCACCGCGCGCCCCCGCCGAGACGCGGCCGGAACCCGCAGCCTTGACCGCCCTGCGCGACGCCGGGCGCCTTGCGGCTGGGATCCGGCAGTCACGGGAACTTTCCAGGGGCCCCAGGGGCGGCGGGGCCGGGGAACTTTCCTGGGGCGGCGCGCCACTGGAACCCGCTGGGGCACGGCGGGGCCAAGGGGATGTCCCCGCTCCCGCTGCTCCCGCCGCCTAGAGGACGAGGGAGGGGATGCCGCCCGGAGTCCCTGCCTAGTGCCCTGAACGGGGCCGCCCTGACCGGGGATCCCCCTGTTCCGCCACCCCT